ATTCACCATCTTCATTTACAACTTTTAAATTCAGCTAATATGCAAAATGAATTCTACTTAAACTTTTATTACAAGGTTTGATTAGTCGCTGTTCGAATTGTTATGTGACAACATTAGCAATTAGTTTAAACTCTTGCCTAATAATCTGTTCCACAAAGACTGAACAAAAGAAACTCTTATCAATAAATTTGTCATTTACAGATTAAATATCATGAGTAATAAGTAATCTTATCTGATTGAAAAGTTTTAAATGCGTTTGCGAGGCGAAAATGAACGAATCCATTGTTACCGACATGCGAGTCCAAATCTGTAAAGAAGTCGAAGACGTGCAGCTGGCTTCATGCACAGATGCAAAATAAGGCTGTTGTTTAGCGATGCAAAACTTAAGTAATGGACAAGTGACTGACAATTTCTCATTAAGTCATTCAAGCGCTCGCTATAAAATGAAGTCAAATCTAGTAAGCCTTTCTTAATGGTTGTTACGTGCTATCATGGACGAGTGAGTACCATTTCCCATATATAACTCTTTCAAACATTCGCTATACAATTAGTCAAATTATTACCTGGCAAGGTAGTCTTGAGGTAAAGCGGAGCGTACTGATTGGTTCATGTTCGGTCTGTTTTTTGGCATACGGACCGTTTCCACGGAAACGGTCCTGTGCTGTGTATTTTTGGTCGCAAAAGCCGGAAAATACTATCAACAAGTTTGGTCCGAGTGCCATATATTACTACTTACTAACCTCGCTTGCTCGATTCGTACAAGGGAAAGTTGACCCTCGGTCGCTTCTGTAAGGACCTAGCTCCGCTCGGTCCGTACTGCCAAGAACTTCGGGACGATATTCCCCAGTAGGGCCCTCACGCTCGGTTAGTAAGAATTAATCAAAGCCAGTTTCAACGGTGTAAGAGTTATGTTCTGGACGACAGATATTATTTCCTTCAACTGATTCAAGTACGCGGTACACTATGTCACAATGAATTGACGAAGCATTTACACCTGAGCCCACTTTCCTTTCGGTCAGCATCAATATATCGACCACACTAAATTACGCTTTATGGAAGTTCAGTTTTCGAAATTCAAACAGCCTATAATTTTATAGAAGTTAAGTAAAGCCTTCTCTTGGAGGCAAAAGAGGGTGAATCGTGACGATATGAGGGGTAACATACTGAATTTATTAGCAACTGATGATAAGGAAATATTTTACAATTTTGGAATAATATATGGCCTTTTCAGTGTAAATATGAAAAAATTTATTTCTAGCACAACAATTCCTTACTAATTTTGAGTTGCAATGAAGAGGAATAAAACAAATTTTAGTAGCAAGAAGTTTCAATTTTGCTCTGTCTTTTGGTTGTATAGGTAATGTCCAAAAGCAGATGAAATACTCTTGATAATGTCTGAACTATTTGGTTGATAAAGTTATTAGAGACTACATTCATAACTCATCCGCGTGAAAAGAAACGTTATTCCTACACAATTTTCATGAGGCTGATTAAATAATGCTGTTAAATTTAGCCGTTATAAAATGCCTCTTATCAAATTATCATACCAGTTGTCAAAAACATTTCTAATTGCTATATTCCAGCATACTCAATTATAATTTCATCCACCTGTGATGAAACCGTGAGTGCCTTTTTTTTTGTAATCCTTTATTATATATTCCTTTTTTCAACCTTAAAAAGGAGCAGCATGAGTAGTTTTTGTTATTGGTTTGGCGCCAAGAAGTCACCGAATGAAAGATGACCCATTAGGGAGGCTCTTATTTCCTCTCTTTATTTATAAACATAGGTCTGAATTAATGGATTTTCCTCTACTAATGACCTCTTCTGACGTCTAGAACATACGAGTTAATGTTTCATACTCGACACGGAAAATACAACATGAATTATTTAACGATAGATTGGTCTTAGCGAATGAATAAATTCTCTCAGGAGGTTTTATTTATGTCCGCTGAAACATAGTTCTCTTGGAATTGTTTAAGGTAAGCTGTGGAATTTCTTGAATTTATTTTTATTTCAATACTTTGCCACACATACTTTATCTTACTGATTAGAAGTTAAGATGTTTCATTGACAAAGAAATAATAGTTTTTTCGTCAATAGTGTCTCTAAGATGCCACATTCATTTTTACAAGAAATTGAACAATGTATTCGTCGACTTTTTGCGTTATGTATTACGGCCTCGAGATAAAGTTTATTTAAAAAAAGGGACAATTTTCAGAAAAATTAGAGCACCAGTCATGGTGGGTTTTCAGGCTCGAAACATCGACCTAAAAAACGTATTTTCAGAGCTTTCCGTGCCACAGACATCAACGCATACCATAAGGTATACATTTGCATTCTATAACAACGGAAACATATCTAGTTAGCTATTGCGCTTTATACGATTTAAACTCTGGACTAGGAAAAACGTAATTGTTTCACCAAATGTATTCTCTTTCTTTTCAAACAAATGTTAAATCTCAAAAGCGATTTCTCTTCAAAAAAAAAAGAAAATGAATTGGTTCCTTCCTCCATGATATGTAAACTCATTGTCTATTATTCAAATAACCTTTCTTGTTTTTAAATTTCACTCAATATTAGTGGCTTAGGTTTACATTTAAAACTAAAAGATTCATAAATTTTCCGTTTGAAAGAGAATTTAAAACAATCCACCCCGTGTCTATACCACCATCACTATTTTGACTTTGTGGTAACCACCGCGCATGGGTGACCTCTTGGGGAACAAACTAAATTCTGCCGGCCACTGCTGTTCGTTATAATCCATTCTGCAAACGAACGTAGTTGTAAATTTAAGCAAGAGAAAAATATGGGCACCGCGCACGTTCACTCATTAACCGCAGGCTCCCACTCAATGACCGACAGCGAATTTTATCCTAAGTGAGAGTAAAAAAATATCACCATTTTTCAGCAGGGATTTTCGTGCTTTGAATTACGATTGGACAATCTAAATACCCTTGAAAGTACACTTAAATGATTCCAATCGAAAACCTTAGCCTAAAGCCATGTTTTTCCTGAAGATAGACTAAATAAGCGGCATGCAACTATCTGAAAATCTAAATTAAACGAAAGACTGCGGTAAGGCTTACCCGATGTTAAAAGATCAGAAAAGTTACCAAAAGATATCTCAAAAAAACTATTGTAAATGTTTTATATCTATGCAACTTTGACAAAAACCAATAATTTGAACATTGGGAAAAAAATAACCAGCAGCAGTTATGATAACAGGTCTCCTTGTGAACAAATTAATTTTCTTTATTCTACGATACACTTAACTTTCAGAAGGTACTTCAGTTCAACGCCTTTCTGTGTATTTCTTGGCAGGCGATAAAATGGCGTATTGACCAAAATTTGTTAAAAAAAAAAGTTGTTGACCAAAGTTTAATTACAAACTCGAATCTATCTCGTACAACATTTTAGCTCATGAGTGCTGGTAATGTTGTGTATATTCTCCTCACGGATGTATTCAGATCTCTAAAGCAACCCCAGGGGCGATGTACGCAATCTTTGAATATCTCACCTTTCCGCTTTTTTAAATAGTTTCCAGAACCAACGCTTCAGTTACGTGTAAGCTATCAAATTGGCAAAAAGAAGTTGAATCTTGAGCGCTTAATACCGTGGAAACAAAAGAAACTTCAAAACAACTAACAATGAAATAGTTTATGTTTGAATGTAGATGTAGTTCGAAGCCAATCCTGCTTAACTGAGGCTCTTTCTAGAGGTGCGTATACAAACTCGGGAGTCCCTTGATATCAGATAGTGCCGGAAAGCCTTTGTACAGTATTCATACTAAACTTTCAATTCGAGATTAAAATAGTCGCCGATTCTTGGAGTGTCTTCCGAAATTTTTAAGTGGAAGCAGCGGAGTTGCGAAGCTGGCGAAGGAACGTTATGAAAATTTTCCCAACACGCTGCTCCATCTAATTGTTGATTTACTCAGTCTATTGAAGGTAAGGAGTCCACTAGTTTGTTTTGCTTTTCTTTTTTAACCTTGCCAACGGGAAATATATCAATGTCATGTGGAGAAGTTCTACTTCGCAATAACCTCGAACCTTCCAGAAAAGTTGTTCAACATACAGCGCGACGGTAAAATTATGTGACGGAAGTGCCTTTGCAGGGGGTTTTTTAACTAATTTTTAGCAAATTTTATATTAAAACTCATATACATTTACCACTTTTGCGAAACTTGTCAGAAGGGAAAGACAATCCATTCAGACATAAAGTAAAATTGGATCCTTCTCAAATGCATTTCTTTCCGGAAACATGATCATTTTCTGAGAATTCAGTCTTTCACGGCAGGTTCTATTTTTATTCAAGCGACATCTCGTCAGAAATTCACACAAGGAATGAATTGAAAAATTTTAAAATCTTCAGGATAAACAAAGCGTTTATGGTAATCCAGTAATTGCTCCCAAAATATATGATTTTAGTTGATGCGATTTTAAAGAAGCAGAAAATTACATGCCAGATGACAAAACTATGCATGGGAAACTTGTTCTTTAAAAATTAACGGTTTTCAAATCTACTTTTCCAACTACCTCACCCCTTTCATGAACTTAATTAATGGTTAGAGGCTATACTAACCATCAAACAATCAATCGAGAAACACAAAATTTGTGTAGCTGCGTAAGTTGTTTACAATAGCTGACACAAACTTGACATAAGAGAGAAATTGAATTTTGCAAATCTCTCACATAACTTAAGTATCTTGCCTTTGAGCGCTCGAAAACAGTACAAATCAGCGCCAGGTCCCACTTTATTTTCACCCCCGATGGCGGTAACAAAACTCTTTTTCAGCTATCGAAAAGCTAAAAATTTGATCAAATTTTGAGTTCTGTGAGGAAAAAGCGGCGACTCATTGTTTTGTCGCTATGGTTACAAGTAAGAAAAACAGTGTGGCGCCTTTCCTGCACCTGTCCGCAGTATGCTTGTTTTTGAAAACATTGCGGGGATCCCTTAGAGAAGCGCATACGTCGAAGGAGTCATTCCATTATGATATCTAGCGGCAGAAATGTCGTCTTTTATCAGTAAGTGCTTATGATGGTAAAAGGGAAATCCTATCCAGAGTCAAGTTGATCAGTCTCGATCATAATAGCATACAGCGTTGAACACGGTGAGTTTTTTTGCACCTAATTAACGTGACAAAGAATGCAGCGTAAATGAAAAACTAATTGCCATAGACACACAAAAGTCGATTCGCCAGCAAGGATATGTAACATTCAAGAGACGCTTTTCACAGCAACTTAAACTAAACATCTCGAATTCGGTCACGTAGCCGCGGATTTCTTGTGTTAATAAAACCGGTGCTCGAGATCCTCTTCGAAATGTCACCATCACGTTTTTAATTCATCCGCCAATTTCGTCTTCAGAAGCATAAGCTTAACTTGACAGGTATTTTCTGAGGTTATAATTGCCTTCATTTTCAACTTGTCTTTGGGCCATACAGAAACATGATGGCAAGGTCATAGTCTATAAGACAGTTTTACACAGAACGAAGAAAACATGTTTTTTACTTTGTGTTCTTCGGTATCTTTAACTGACACTTATTTTGAAAATATGGAAATTGGTTCAGTAGTTCCTTATTTTTTATTTCACGAGAAAATATTAGTGTTAATTGCCGGCGTAAGGTTGTCAATATTTCAACCATCTTGACATTAAAAAGATTTTTCCTTTCACAGGCTAAAGAACGACATGAATAAAATTTACTGGCGATGAGTGATAAAACAAAACGGATGAAGGATGGAAAATACAACTGATAACTATCGTAGAATTCCACCGCGGAGCAAATTTAATGACGAAGAATCAACTGCAGTGTTAAGGCTGATTATTGAGCAAGAAAGACTGCTTAAAACTCCAGCAAATCCGGTTCTGAATATTAACAGTGACAAGCTGAAAAGACTCCCTCCACTGAATGGCAAAATGCTGGATTCTTTGGATCAATTTGACCCACACAGGAGCCAGCGAAAACACAGGCCGGGGGACGACATTGTTCTGAGCAGGCCGACGCTTTTGAAAGGAAAGGAATGTCGTGCGCTCGAGGAACCTGCATCACTCGGCGGCAAGCCAAAAGTTCCAGACATATACAGCACGCCAAAAATCGCTCGGCCTCGAGATCGCGAGAGGCCACGCGCGTCGTACGGACGTGTAGCTCCGAGTCGTAGCAGTAGCACGGAAACGAACCCGCGCATCCGCTCGAGAAGCACGGGGGAATGTAACGAGTTGATTTTTTCGGCGACTGAGGACGCTTTGGAAAGACCGACAAATCCTACTCCATTAGAAAACGAAGATGACTTTAAAAATGATCAAGAATTTGCATCCAGAACTTCATGTAGCCAAAGCGAATGTTATGATAGTGACGAAGATAAGGTAAACGCAGAGCGAGTCTACGCTTCTTACATCAATTAAAAGATGCAAAATGCGGTTCTCTTAATCATGGAGCAGACACCATGCGAACGGAATGATTTTAGGGTTGGTTTCACTTTGCCTCCTTTTAACCTGGTGACAAACTATCATGAGTAAGCGAATATATTGACATAGTGGAGGACACAGATTCGGATTGGAAAGTGAACTAACGCCAAGTCTGATGTCGAAGAAAGTTCAGAAAAACCGTCTCGCTAGTACATTTAAGAATTAATAAAGCTAAACTTAAAATATTTCGGAAGCCAGAGATGGCAATACATAAAACAAGGACCATGTCTTCAATTAACTAAGATATCTTTTTCTCGATGTGACAAGTTTTACAAACCAAACGCTCGTGATTCAAAAAATTGTAATTTCTGGGTACAACCTCTATATCCCGCAGTTCGTAATTATTTTTGTTATTTCCAAAGCAAATAAAGTTTATAGGAGATACTCGAGACAGTTTCGGCTTGCTAGAGGGTACAATTAAAAGGCGAGTCAAATGCGGATACTTTCGCCTGTGCCGGTAGGCATTCTGGCGGATATTGAGAAAAATAAGCTTTTTCACTTTGGTCCGCTTTAGATGAGATATCACAAATTAATTCACAATCATGACAAAGGTGGAACTCAGTAGGAAAGAACTGCAACCTCCCCTGTCGCTGAAGAACAATTTAATGCCTCTCATTATTATGACAACCGCGAAACAACAAAGATTGAAAGCGAGACAGAAACTTTAATCTGTAAGCTGGTCCAGCTCGGCGCTTCAACGCAGTCAGCGTGCGCCATTAAAAACTTTTCTTACATTTTACCTCTTGTATTAAATATATTCCTTTAGCGGGGAGGACTAAAATATTTACATGAGAAACTTACAAAAGGGCCGCAGAAAATTTCATAAGAGAGGTATATGAATGCAAAATACGCCCGTAGCAACTTAAAATGAAAATAAATGAAAAATCATATTTAATGTATTTGGTTCATTTTGTTTTTTATCCAAACAAGTCACAACAATATCACAACAAACCCCTTTGAAATGCTTCAACCTAAAACCATGGTATATTTAAACGAATGGCGCTTAAATTCTCGGGCTATTTTGAAATTTCAACGTTTTCAAAGTAAAATAATTCAAAAAGCTCAACAAAAATACGATATTTTTGATAAGAAACTTAATTCAAAAAGTCCAATATCTTAAAGGAAATAGTTCAGCTTATTATCAGGTAAAACTGATCATAGAATCTCTTTAATTTTCTTATTTGATATATTTTTTGTGTACTCAAAATTTACCATATGACGTTAAAGATACTTAAACAATAAGCTCGGTAGTCCATTTTTGCTGCAATGCGTTCACAATATTAATAAAAGCTAATCTTTGTAGAGCGCTTTCAGAACGCTACTCACACTGTCTTTGTTTAACACCTCGTACCACTCATAGCACGTATTTGAATTTCGCGACCTCCCCATTTTCTCCGCACTTTCTAGAATCTGATTGGTTTGTGGTTGGAATGCTTTATTCAACCCGCCCTAGGCGATAATTAAACAAACCGTAACATTCCCTGTATTGTGAGGTTCGTATTACGTTCAACGCTTTTTCCCGTAACGCACGTTCACGCTGATTCAGAACGTTCCGACACGATCGACACGGATATGTGTATAAGGACACGTGGATGCGGAAAGTCACCGCAAAGAGTGTCGTTGAAACAGTTCGTGAAACAAACCGCAAGAACAGCTGTTTCAATGAACATTTTCCCTTCCCATTGTTCTGTTATCTTAACATCAATCATCGACGGCAAATGACCAATTTAAGTTACCACCTATCGAAATATTCATATCAAGCTGAACAGCCTCCAGATCATAATCTCGTTCGACGAAGCCAAATTGAACGCAAACGTCACTTAAGTCTATAATAGCTGTGAGAAACATGAGCTATAAGCACAGTAAGAATACATCAATAATATGTGCTCCGGTAAAGAAATGACAGTCTGAAGAAAATACATAAATTGAGATTTGTTTTTATATCAAAGTTTCGGAACATTAATTTAAATGATTGGTTCAAAGGTAGGACAACAACCAAAAGGCTTTTTCACATAGAGAATTGCCAAAAATTAAGTGTAAAGATAGAACCAAAATAAAATAATTGCCATATTCCGCCTTAAGGGAACAAGGCCATGCATATGGAAAAAATTAATGTACCGAAATCTATCATCGACGTAAACAAACTTTTATCGCGCCACCAGTGCAGAAAACTAATTATCATAACAATCCCTGATGGAAAGCAAAAATTATTTGAAGTCTTGTTTTCCTTTTGCTGAATTAAAGAGAGTGATGTGTTAGGATAATTTCCTAAATCCTCATTTTTCTTTATAGAAAACGCCCATTTAAACCTATTTCAAAATTGGTTACATTCGATTTTTAACACTTGCCTCGTGCACTTTGCAAATGAAAATACATAAACTCATTTATAACAAGGCAAAGTAAAATAATTTAACTTCTTGCTGTGGCAACGTAAGATTTTCAAAATCTCAATTAGAAAAGTGAGCTATATTTGTCATTTTATCCCTGAGTTAAGACTTGGCACGGCAAATTTGATCGAGAAATAGGGTTCGAACCTTACTTCGCCAAATAAAATGTTTAAATGAAGAAGAGAGTAGGTCTGACTGCATGCTAGAAATTCGACGTTCATGTCCTTGTGAGGTGGAAAAGAAGAACCATATTCCGCGTAAATTACTCACACACGAATTTTGACGCACTTCTTCGTTTAATCAGTTACTTCAGTAGCTGATTGTTTTGTTTTGCATTTATTCTTACTTTCCTTTCCCTGAAAGTTTAAAGTTTGTCTAGAATGGCACCACTGCCTCACTTGGCTCGCTGAACTGAACGTGGTCTTGTTAATGATATGCACACCCAAATATTAGCAAGCTCTAGACAAAATTCAACGTTTTACCGATTTGAGTGGCAGGTGTGTGATCTAGACAGATTCCACGTTTTTCCGATTTCAGTTTCAGGTGCGTGCTCTGCCAGTGATCCTAGCAGTTTGCACGATTTATATGCCCTAAATGAGCAGGAACCACGTTTATGGCTCGGTACACAAACGAGTTCTCTAGCAAACTTGGAGCTTGCTTCAGTTTGAACTGGGAAACGTAGATTATTCTTCTTTTTTTGCCCCCCTCTGTGGCAGGTGCTTTTAAACAATTCAGTTTCTTTTCTTCCGACAACTAATTTCAGAATTTCAAGTACCATTTTCGTCTCTTAATTTCAGCTATAAAAATAACTGTGCGTCGTCAAGATACATTACGAACCAGGCATGTAAATCTTTAATTAAAATTTGAAGCCGAAAACTGAAAAGAATGGAAAGTTAATAGGTGTCTTAACATGCGCTTCGTTTACATCTGTAAGTGAACTGGCGAAATAAAGCGCTAAATAAATAACAAACAAACCAGCACGAAACTGACAGAAACATTACCTTAGGGAAAAAACTTTTTTCAATTAACTTTGCACTAAAACCCACCCCTTTCTTATGTAAGTTCCGACAAAAATATTTATTTTAATCGATGTCATTAAATTTTGTGACGCACACAGATAACTTTTTAGATATTTGGAAATTTTCCCATTTATTTTGAGCTGCTGTTAGCTATCAATTGACCTGTATCTATCAATAAGCGAAAGAAAGATAAAAGCCAAGAATACAGTCATAACTCCTTTGTACGCCCGAAACACGCCAGTCAAGTTTTTAATTATCAGTTAGACCACTGAAATATCTCAGAGTTTTCAAAATCCCCTGTTAGCCAAAGATAAATAAAATAACCGGGAAAATCAAACGCCTTTTTCAAGAGGTTTAAACTTCATGTTTCTCTCGTTACCTTTGGCAAAAAACAGAAGGTTCGTTTACGTCGGGGAAGGGTCTTAGAACTTTCTCCTGAAGTTGAATTTTTTCCCTCTGTATCAAGTTCGTGAATAGCAGGCATCGGAATCACTGAAGTTTCCTTTAATTTTTTCCTATTCTCCTCAGAAGAAATACTTCGACTTTTCTTTTCCCATTTTACCACTTTTTCCCCTGCAATCAGTTGCAGTGAATTGATGTTAACTTCTTGACAATCCTCAGAGATGGACTTGTCTGTATTTCGCGTTGTCTCGTCAACGGAACTCTCTCCAGTGTTGAACGTGTGTGCTTGTGGAAGACTAAAAGCTTCATAAAAGTTTAATGTTTTGTTTCCCTTGATTTCCACGCTTCTATTCTTGTCATAACTTTGTTCTTTCCTCGCTTCAAAACTAGGAGGTAGACTTCCTTGTCTTTTTTTAATATCGCTTTCCGTCCCAGTATCTCCATAAATTTTCGTTTCATCACCAACACAGTGGGTTTTTACGCCTGTTCCAGAATCCATCAATGCCGCACCTTTCTTACTTAAAATTTTCATTCTTTCTCTTTCGGATTTCAGTAAAACAGCAGTCCATCGTTTTCTGCTATCCACAAATACCTCTTGCTCATTTTTAGCATAAAACCAAGCCTCTCCCCATCGCCGACACTCGATGATCTTCGCAGCAGACTTGCAGGACTTGTGAAATTGCTGTACATCTCCTTCCTCGATAAAAGGAAACCTGTTGAACGATGAGTAATTTTTTGATACCTTTCCCGTCGCGCTGTAACTCACAGAATGTTCTTTACCTGCTTTTCTGGCAGATCGCGATTTCTTCTCAACGGCAGGATCAAATGCAAGAGACGCCGACCCACCAAATGCTTTTCGGTCCATTGGTAGTTGAGTATTAACTTCTGTTGGCGATCCGTTCGCCGGATGCCCTTTTTCGTACAAGGACGAGATTGAATTCCTCAGTCGGAGTTGTTTTTCGCGCTCAAATCGATATTGGTCTCTCTGTAAGTTGTCAAGTTCCCTGAGAACTCTTTTCTCTTCCTCGGCATAATAGACAGACCTTCGAACTCGTCTTCTTTCCAAGTCGGCGCTTAATTTTCGGAATTTCTCCTCTTCAATTCGGCTTTTAAGATCCATCCATTCACT